CGGGACCCCCCTCCCCAAAAGTCTCAGGCAGGGAACTGGGGAGAAATCCGAGGATTTTGGGGGAAACCCGCCCGGATTTGGGGCGGGATTTGGGGTCGGGGTTTGGCACACGACGCTGCTCAGCCCTTCCAGGAGCTCCCGGGGCCTGGGGGGATTTTTGTGGGGTCGGGGGGGTCCCCAAAAAAGGGGGGGAGACCCCAGGACCGGTCCCGTTTGTAGGGGCAGCTCCCCCCAAACCCTTAAATCCCATTTTTGGGGTCGTTCCAAACCCCCCAACCCTTAAATACAATTTTTGGGGTCATTTCCACCCCCCAACCTCTTTAATCCAATTTTTGGGGTCGTTCCCCCTCCCAACCCCTTAAATCCCATTTTTGGGGTCATTGCCTCCCCAAACCCTTTAACCCCATTTTTTGGGATCCCGTTTTTGGGGACAGCCCCCCCCTCCCCAACCCTTTAACCCCAGATTTTTTAGGATCCCCTAAAAATCCCTTTTTTGGGGTCACCCCAACCTTTTAACCCCTCATTTTTTGGGGTCCGGGGCGTCCCCACAAAATCCCTTTTTTTTCTTTTGGGACACCCAAACCCTTTAATCCCATTTTTCGGGACCCCAACCCTCTTTTGGGGTCCCCCCAAATTTATTTTTTTTATTTTTTTTGGGGTCCCCTCACCTGTGGCCCTATGTCACCTCCTCGGCCGTGTCCTCTGGGGGTCTCTGGCCCTGCTCGTCGCCCCCCGGCGACGTTTTTGGGGTTTTTGGGGGGGTCCCCTCCGATTTTTGGGGTTCCTGGGGGGCCTCGGGGGGGCTGGGACCCTGTGGGGTGAAATTTGGGGTGAAATGTGGGGGGGAAATTTGCTGATCCCAAATCCCGCGGGGTTTGGGGTCCCCGCTTCGATTTCGGGGTCTCTCTCTCGGTTTTTTGGGGTTTTTTTTTGGAATTTTAGCGATTTTTGGGATTCTCCCGTTTTTTTTTTTATTTCCCGCAATTTTTTGAGATTCCTGTGGGTTTTTTTTTTTTTTGGCGTTTCCCGCTTTTTGGGGGGGGATTCCCGCATTTATTTTTTATTTATTTTTTTTTTATTCTCCTCCCCAGTTTTTGGGCTCCTCTCCGTTTTTGGGGACTCCCCTGGTTTTTGGGATTCCCGTGGGGGTTTCTTTATAACTCCCATTTTTTAGGATTCCCCATTTTTTTCTGGGATTCCCGCTTTTTTTTGGGATTCCTGCCGGTTTATTTTTTTTTTCCTATTTCCTCCATTTTTTTGGGACCCCCCCATTTTTATCTTTCGTGGTTTTTTGGGGGGGATTTCCCTTTTTTTTTTTGAATTCCCGATTTTTTTCCGATTTCCCGATTTTTGTGGCGATTCCTGCTCTTTTTTTGGGATCCCCCCCTGTATTTTTTGGGGACCCCGGGTGGGATTTCGGGGGGTCCCCACCTGGTCGTTGCCCTCGGGGGGGCTCCTGCAGACGATGTCGCTGAACTCCCCGGGGCTCTCCTCGGCCGGGGGCGCCGTGGGGGTGGCGGCTGAGGGGGGAGAAAATAAAGAAAAAAACGGGAAAATTACGGGGAAAACGGGAAAAAATACGGGGGAAATGGGGGAAAATACAGGGAAAAAAACAGGGAAAATGGGGGAAAAATACAGGGAAAAAACAGGGAAAATGGGGGAAAATACGGGGGAAAATTACAGGGAAAATGGGAAAAATGGGGAAATGGGAAAACAAGTGAACAGGAGAATAGGAAAAGGAGAAAAATGGGGAAATGGGAAACGGGGAAACGAGAAAATGGAAAAAAAAAAAAGAGAAATGGGAATTGGGAAAACGGGAAATGGGAAAAACAAGAGAACAGGAGAAAAGGAGAAAAATGGGGAATGGGAAAATGGGAAAAAGGAAAAATTGGGGACTGGGAAAATGGGGAATGGGAATTGGGGACACTGGGGACAGTGGGGACGGGAATTGGGGACACTGGGGACATTGGGGGCACTGGGGATGGGAATTGGGGGCACTGGGGACACTGAGGACAGTGGGGACACTGGGGACAGTGGGGACAGTGGGAATTGGGGGCACTGGGGACAGTGGGGACACTGGGGACGCACCGGCCTCGGCCGCTTTCTCCGTGTTGAGCCTCCAGCACCAGAAGGCGGCGCCGAGACTCACGGCCACCAGGATGAGACACA